TGATTAGGATACTAAATTCTGCTCAGTCATGTGTGTTCCAGGAAGTCATTTTAAAACCTTAAAGGTAATTTAGGTTGGTTTAGCTTTGGGTTTTTTGCTTCAGGGAATACAGGGAGTTAAATAGCAAGTGAACTTGTTACATTTGATTCTGGGAGGACCAACATAAAGATACTTTTTTCCAAAAAAAATTATGCCATCTTTACTTATAAAGGAATTCTGGGGACATCTCCAAGCATGTTGCAGATTTTAATCTAATTAATCCTTACAATAATAACCCAGGGAGGTAGTCCTTACACAATGGTCTTCATTGTTTAAAGCCACCAGTTGTTAGAGACCATGAAAGAGACACTGTCTGCTGTTGTGTCCCTGTCCTGACTTAATTAATAAACGTTATAATGTTCTTTGAAATAAGTCTAGTATAATATGAACTATTAGTGTATGAATCATCTCTAATCCTAATGAGACAGATCTCACCACTAAGAATATCTTAGAAAGACTTTATACACACACCAGCTTAAAGAAACAAATGTTTGTTAGAGGAGAATTTAAAGTTACAGATGAACTCTGTGACTAAAACATTTTCATATATTAATCCATACGTTTACCAGGCTCCTGCTGTATGATATTAGTTGATATGGACACAGAAACAACTTAGAATAGAAATGAAGTAATCATTATATTAATGTATGTGGTGGTGATCTAGAGGTCTAAATGAACGACACATGTCATTAATAAACCAAGGATTGGAATTTAGAAATTCTAAGGGACAGAAAGAAGCGGAGGATTCTTGACAACCAGCATCTGTCACGACCCTTGCTTTGCGTTTTGGTTCAGATGGCATGGTCTTTAACAGCTCTCTCTAGTAAAGTAGGTAAGGGAATGCTTTTACATACAAAATTTCACTAGATTCTTACAGTGTCCCTGTGAAATAGACAGGACAACTATCATTTTCACCTTTTACAAACAAGAAAGTGAGCTCAGCAATAGTATGCTGCTACAGATCACAGTGAATGGGTGGCAGAATTAGAAGTTGAGCAAGGTTCTCCAAGTCCTCACATAGCGCTCTCGTCTAGGTCCCAAAGCACTTCCACAGTCAGCCTGCCACTCACGTCTTCAGGCTGTACCAGCCACCTGCAGACTGAAGAGCTGGTGTGCTTATGCCTTAAACCCCCATGCCAGCCGGGACCCCCATTCCCTCTAATTTCAGCCAGACGTGGCTAGAGAAATTCATGGAAAAGTTTAATTTAAAAACTAAGGGGCAGACAAAAACAAAGGTATGAAAATAATGAACTTGACTGGGTGCAAGTTTCTGCTCATGGGTTGGTGTGCCTGATGGGATACATGGGCTTGGGCCTCCTTTACCACTTCCCTGTTCAAAAGAGCAACTTGCCTGTCCTTGGTTAATTCTCTTATCTATTTGAGGTCCTTCTTCTCTTCCCCTGGAAAAGGGGTTAAACTGAATCTCTAGCCATTCTGCTACTAGAGTAACCCATAGAAAGAAGAAATAATTACATTCACCGTAGTTGTGTATCACATCACTAACCCTTGCCCATACACATCCAACAGCTTTTATCCATTTCTGAAAGTTCCAAAATACCTTATGGGAACCTCTTACAGTCATACACTCCAGGAGAGAGAGGCATTCTCAGGATGGAGAATATGCCACATCTGAACCTGTCAAAGAGGTGGCACCTTTCCCGTACTTCAGTTTTTAAAAACTTTTCCTTTTTCTCCAAGGGGGATTTCACACAATGCTGCTGAGGTCTCAAGGTGCTGGCAGATCATTGCTACATGAAACAGGGATCTCTCCTAGCACACCTCAAGGAGTCTAGATGTGTTTTTTTTTTTTTTTTTGCAGATCTTTGTGTGCAAGAAACTGAGAAGGAATTGTAGAGTAATGGTTAAGAGTCTGAGCTGGAGCTTAATTCCTGCTCTGTTTGCTAGCTGCACAACCCTAGCCAGGTTACTTAACCTCCCTGACACTCCATGTCTGCATCTTCTTAAAAAATAATAATAGCTGGCATTGATTGAGCACTTACTATGTGCTACGGAGTATGTGTACCAAGTTTGACCTGCTTGACATGTATTATCTTATTTAATCACTACCACAGCCCTATGAAGTCAGTACTATTATCATCCCCAGTTTATAGATAAGAAAACTGAAGCACAAGGAGGTTTAATAGCTCACTAGATATTATATGACTTAATGGTGAAGCCAGGATTCAAACACAAGCAGTTTGATTCTGAAACAGCACCTTCTTTGTAGTGATGTTGTAAATATTAAATGAGCCAATGTAAATCAGGTCCCCTGCATAGTGCCTGACACATAAACAAGACTTAAGTTAATATTAGGTGTGGAATTATTTTTAGCACTATCATTTATTCCAAGAGATATCTGGGCCAGAAAACAGGTTTTGACATAGGATATTGTATTCTAGTTTAACTGGCCCTAGGTATGTATCTTGCAACTCAACTGATGGACCTCTGTTATTCCCTGAGCAATCTGTGTATTATAGCTTACCTGGTCAAGAGATGGGGTAAAGGGTTGGCAACTTTTTCCATTTGCCCATGCAGAAAAGTTCTTCATCATGGAAAAAAGTATGAAATCTCTTATAAAAGAATGGCATGCTGAGCAATAGCTAGCAGAATTGCAGGGAGTACCCAGAATTTAAGTAGAATTACATTTCAAAAGTTCATTTGTCTATTGTTATAAACTCTGAATACATAGACATAAGATTGTGCAAATGGTAGTTACATCTGAAAGCTATTCACAGAAGTCTATTTTAAAGTTCAGTGATAGAAATCATGCCAAGGGCAGGCCTAGAAACAATAGCCCATGTGATTTTAAAAAAGTGTCTTTTCTAGTAGAGAGGAAGGTTGATATAGAGTACATTAGTTATCTATTCCTATGTAACAAATTATCCCCAAACTTACCATATTAAAATAAACATTATTATCTCATGGTCTCTGTGAGTCATCTAGGAGTGGCTTAGCTGGGTGGTTCTGCTCAGGATCTCTCATGGAGTTTCAGTCAACATCTCCCAGGCTGCAGTCATCTGAACCCTTAACTGGGGCTGGAGGATCCACTTCCAATACAGCTCACTCACGTGGCTGTTGGCAGGAGCCTTCAATGGCTTATCACAGGGGCATTTCCATAGGGCTGCTTGAGTTCCTCATGACATGTTAACTCTGACTTCCCCCAGTGTAAGTGAGTGATCCAAGAATGAGAACAAGAAGGCAGCTGCAACACCTTTTATGACCCGGTCTTGTTAAATCACACACTGTCACTTTTGTTATGTTTTATTCATTATAGGCCATATGCTATTCTTTAAGTGCAGCCCACACTCAGCGGGAAAAGAGATTAAGCTCTATCTTCTAGTGGAAAGATTAATACAAAATTTGTGGGCATACCTTAAAATCACTATGTAGTTTTTGTTATCCTCCCATGACTCTCTCCAGGTATCCAGTGATACAAAACAATACAAATAAACTGAGATGCAGAACCGCAGCCCTTCCCAACAAAGCTTACTGTAAATACCCAAAACAACCCATGCTCTTCCCTCAACTTTTCTTGAAAACATCCATCCCCTTTCCTTAAATGGAATCTTATTTGAAGAATTTATACTAAAGAAAAAGTAACTGGACTCCTGAAATATTTGTTTTATTCATTTGTATCTCTCATTAGAATTTCAGGCAGCATAACAAGCTGAAGTTTAAAAAATAATAATAACCTACTTCCTGCTGGGTGGATTAAGGTTTTTGGGGTTAGAAAAGCAACCTTTGTTAGGTGCTTTCTCTTCAGCTGATAATGAGCTGAGTGTCATGGTTAGTGAATTTTTGGGGCAATAGTCTTCCTTTTTTGATTTTGAGAACCATCAAATCTCTGATGCAGTTCTGCAGGAACATGGTGAGCATTCAAAAGTGAGGGCCTGCCCTTGAATTCAAAAGCAGTGGGTACTCTTGCACCTGAGGAATGCAAGGTTCTAAAGTGCCAACTGAATCTTCATAGGGAAATGATGTTTCATGTGATGTGACTTTTCATTGTACTTTTTGTAACTTGTAATTTGGGAATCCATGTAGGCTACTGTCTACACAAACACTAGATAAATAGGAGTTTGCACTACAATTCAAGTAGAAGCTAAGGGCTTGATCTATGAGTTCTTCTGACTGTGTTGTTCCTTTATATTTTAGCTGAGTCTTAACCCCATTCGAGAATATGATGGAAGCTAAGAAATTACTCAAAAAAATACATACATTCACAAAATTTTGCATGTAAGTTTAAGGCCTTTGGAAACCTCTAAAGCCCACCCAGGGCATCGAAGGTTTTCATGGAGAAGGCTGAGAGGGATCTCACTGCCATTCCATTTTGCCATTTAAATTTATATCTAAATCAGAAAATACTCAGAACTTCTTAATTTCTTGATGTTAAACAGAACCAAAGGCTAAAACAGATACCTGTACTAGACTTTGTGTGCTTGGGTTTAGTCCATATTGTAAATACCTTGGAGACAAACGGAACATGGCATTGAGCACACAGAGGACAACACATATTTGCTGAAAAACAACAGTAAAAATAAAGGCGGACACAGAACTGCTGACGACCATAAACCATGCCCTCTCCAAGTTGACCTGCCTGTGCAGCAAATTTTGCCAACTTGCCAGAGAGGCTTCAACTCGAGGAGAGAAAATGCGCTTGGCGTTTCCCTTAGCAACCGCTAAATTCGTTTTCTGCGGAGCATCCGCAACCAACATCCCGATCCCAAATCCAAGGCCATCCTCCTGTGGAGCGAAATCCAGCAGCGACGCCCAGCCCCGTTCGAATACCCACTACGCCCACGGAGCCCGGCTCCATCAGCTCACGCCTCTTAACCGCAGCACAGAGCTCCCGCGGTAAGCGCTCCTCGTGCTCGGGCTGGCCGGAGGGCCCAGCGGCCGGCTGGGGGCGAGGGGCGGGGCGAGGCCGCAGCCCGCGACCCCGCCCCGCTCCGCCCCCCGCCGGCGCCACAGCTCTGCGCCGCGGCCTGCGCGTGCCCGTGCCGACCCTCCCTCGCTCGCCTCTCCCGCGGCCGCTCCGGCGCACGCGTGGCCTCGCGCAGGGCGGGGAGGGGCGGTGGCCGTGGGCGTCTAGCCCCGAACCTGTCAGACCCGCGGAGTCGGCCTGCAGCTGCTAGCGCGGCAGGCGTGAGGCCCGCCCGGCTTCCCCGCGGCCCTGGGCCGAGCTATGCGAGTCACCGGGGCTGGGAGATGAGCGGCCGCCCTGCGGCAGCGCCCCAGGTAGACCTGCTGCCCCCTGCCAGCCCGGCGCCCTCGCCGCCCCCGGGGCTTCGCAACTTGTGGGCAGCGTCGGGGTGCCTTTAATGTATAACGCGTTTCGTTTTCCACAGGATGGGGAGGGACGCGCGGCAGCGCCCTCGGGAGCCGGCGCCCCGGTGAAGTAGGAGCCGCGGGCTGTCCGCCTGCGCCGAGCCGCTCCGCCTCTGCCATGGCCGGATCCGGCGCGTGGAAGCGCCTCACAGCTCTGCTGAGGAAGGATGATGCGCCGCTGTTTTTAAATGACACCAGCGCCTTTGACTTCTCGGACGAGCCTGGGAACGAGAGGCTGTCTCGGTTTAACAAACTTCGAGTCGTGGTGGCCGATGATGGTTCCGAAACCCCGGAAAGGCCTATTAACGGGGCGCAGCTGGCCCTCCAGGCCGACGATGACTCCTTACTGGACCAGGACTTACCTTTGAGCAACAGTCAGCTGAGTTTGAAGGTGGACCCCTGTGACAACTGCAGCAAAGCGAGGGAGTTACTGGAGCAGAGAAAGGTGAAAACCAGACTCACCATTGCTGCTGTTCTTTACTTGCTTTTCATGATCGGAGAACTTGTAGGTGAGTTGTGTTGCCAACTCACTTTCCATGTACCTTGCCTGGAGAATCTTTATAAAACTTTAGTTACACGTGATTTGAGGTCTAAAGTTTCTTTAGGAAGCTTGTTACTTATCAAGACACTAATCTCGTGATGTGAAAAGGCAGCACGGTTCCAAAGTGCAGATTAACCTAAATACAATATAAATTTCCAGAATTGACTTTCTTCTCGTGCTCCATTGTATCGCCTATTGTAAAGTTAAGAACATTATGTTCATTGTACATCATGTAACTTCCTCTTGTAAGAAAAAGAAACTGAGCAAAACACCAGGTTAATTTTTGCAACGTTTTAAATAGTAAGTGATTCTTAAACTACTTAGAATCATAAAATTTTACCATATTAAGGGACCTTACTGACCACCTACTCCCACTCCTTTTTCACACATAAGAAATCTGAGGGTCCAGAGAGTTTAAATAAGTTGCGAGGACACTTAGGTTGATTAATGGAAGAGCTGCATCAGCAGTCCCAGTCTCTTGACTTTTTCCTCTACGTTTTAAGTGGTCTCTATTACTACTTCCCTTTGTATTTCTAAGAGATTTGCACATTAAATACTACCAACTAACCATAAAACTTTTCACTGTAAGGAAGATCTGAAAAGAACCACAGGGCTCCCCCAGGACTTACAAACTTGGTTTTATTTTTCACTTTTTAAATTATTCAAGTAATACATTCTTACTTTGGAGATTAATTTCACAGTCACTTTAGTGTAACTGCTAATTTCTCTTAGTGATAGTTTAAAAGTGACATTTAAAGCAAGGAGATCACTCTCCCATGTTGGCTCTTCAAGATGAATCATGATGAGAACAGAGGTGAGGATCCAGATTTAAGATGCTGGCTGGCGGTTATATGCAAGAAAATTATATACATTTCCTACCTCATTTCATGCCACTCCTCCCCAGTGCTCACTTTGGTCATCCTAGCCTTCTTGCTCCCTACAACTCAAAGTTCTTTCTTGCTCTTACGGCCTTCAGACTGGTTGCTCCCTCTACCTCTGTAGCTTTCAAACTTTTTGACCTCACTGTAGTAAGAAGTACACTTAACATTGTGACTCATGTAGGCATACGTGCATATGTGTGTATGCACACATACACACATGTATAAATGTATGTATAACTGAAACAAGTGTTATTTCATGGGATGGGTTCTAATATTTTTTCAATTATGGTCCAGCCCACTTAACTGATTTCATGGTCCACAAATAGGTCAGGGCCTGCAGTTTGAAAAAACTGCTTTACATGGACTGCCTTTTCCCAAATCATCTCTGGGCTGGCTTCTTATCATTCATGTCTCATCTCAGAAGATACCTCAGAGACGTTTACTGATTGACTAAACCTCTCTTCTCCCCTGTTCTCTCCCCAACTTTAAAAGCATCTGAGATAATCTTATTCATATATTTACATGTTTAATGTCTGTCTTCCTCCACAGAAGTATAAGCTGAATTCCCAGCACCTGGAACAATGACTTTCACAGAGTGGACATACAATAAATTTTCACTGAATTAATTTTTATTGTGTTAGAGAATTATAAATGCTTAAGCTATAAAGAAATTGAAAGACGGGAGGGAAGCTATGGCCAGATAAGGTATGGTCTCAGCAGACTACACTTTAATAACTGGCCCAAAGTCACACAGCTAGAATATTGAGTCATTCAGCCTTAGTGATTGTTGAAGATATTTAATATTTGAAGTAAAAATCACATTAATCACAATTTTTCCCCTTAAAATTAATTTAGCTTATTTTGCCTATGTAAAAATTAAGATATAATTGTCCTGACTTATTCGGTAAATGTTATTTTGTGAAAGCCACAGTAGTTTTCAAATACTGACTTTATTTTAAAATATGAAAAAAGTTTGTTAAATAATATGGAGATGCTAGCACTTAAGATAGGCATTAACAATATTATTCAGAATGTTACACAGAATTGTATACAGTAGAGCACTTATTAAAGTATGTCAAAAGCACTTAGAAATAAAGTATCTAATGTAGGAAGTGTGGAGTAATTCTCTAAAATGAAGTAATTTAAAGATCTGAAGGAGACTTGATTTTGAATCTCAGCTTTGACACTAACTTCCTCTGAGACCTTAAACAACTTCCATTCTCTCCATCTTTCCATTCAGCCAGCATTTTTTGAGTACTTCATATATTGTAGGCACTGTGCTTTGTGTTCTGGATTTACAATAGAAAACAGAACTATTATTATCCCTAATACCTGAAGTATTTAATCTAATGAAAAATATGTTAACAAATAAACATCTTTTTAAAGATGTTAAAAAAACACAAATTTAAAATTCAAATGGTCTTACCTGCTAAGAAGAAAAAACCAAGCAAGGTACTATAAGACATAGTAACCAGCGGAACATAGTTTATGTGTGACCCAGTACAGTTAAACTGAAAGAGTAGTAGGAATTAAGCAAAGGGAATGAGTGAGTTTTCCAAGTGAAGAGAACAGCAGTACAAAGGTCTTGAACCTTCAGTCCTCTAAAAGGACCCAAAAAGAAGGCTAGGTTGGCTGGAATGTGCTAAGAGGTAAAAAAGAGCATTGTTCTGGATTTACAATAGAAAACAGAACTATTATTATCCCTAATACCTGAAGTATTTAATCTAATGAAAAATATGTTAACAAATAAACATCTTTTTAAAGATGTTAAAAAAACACAAATTTAAAATTCAAATGGTCTTACCTGCTAAGAAGAAAAAACCAAGCAAGGTACTATAAGACATAGTAACCAGCGGAACATAGTTTATGTGTGACCCAGTACAGTTAAACTGAAAAAAGAGTAGTAGGAATTAAGCAAAGGGAATGAGTGAGTTTTCCAAGTGAAGAGAACAGCAGTACAAAGGTCTTGAACCTTCAGTCCTCTAAAAGGACCCAAAAAGAAGGCTAGGTTGGCTGGAATGTGCTAAGAGGTAAAAAAGAGCAGGGGGACCAGGACGTGCAGGTGCTGATAGACCAGATTAAATGAATGTAGTTTTAAGTTCTAAGTATAATGGGAAGCCCTCAAAGGCTTTTAAGCAGAGAGTGACATAATGGGATTTATCTTTTTGAAAGATTACTCTGGGTATTATGTGGAGAATGGATTGTAGGGTATACAAACAGAATCAAGTAAATTATTGCAGAGATCCAGACAAGAAATTATTTTGGTTTGGACTAGAGTGGATGGAGAAAAATGTACTGGTCAAGATACCTTCTAAAGGTAATACTGAAAAGGGAATACTTCTAAAGGTAATTCCCTACTGGTTTGGATGTGGGGGGTTGATGGCAGAACAGTATCAGGAATGATTCTGAAGTTTCTCACCTAAGTATCTGAGTATATAGAAATGTATGTCACTTATGAAGCAGGAGAAAATGCAGATCAGGATTTAGGCATGGGCTCAAGGGTTGTTTTAGACCTGTTAATAATCATATGTATGTTAAATAGTCAAGCAAAGATGTCCAGTGAGTTGTTACATATGAGTCTCTACTTCAGAAGGGAGGTCAAGGTAGAGAGAAATACATTAAGTAATAACATAGGAATGGCAAAAAATTACCTAGAGAGCCCAAGTCTTGAGGAACTCCACTTTAGAAGTCATGCGGAAGGCAAACAGGTATCCCAGAATCCTATAAAAGAGAATATTTCAAAGTGGAAATAAGTAAGCTGAAGCTGCTGAGAGGTCTAATGAGATGAGAATTAAAATGTCCTTTGGATTTATTAACAGAGTTATTGAGTAATAACTGCATTTTTATTGGGAATGAAAAACCTTGAAGAATGAATGCAAACAGTCTTCCAGGAAAAATGACAAATGAACTCATGCATCTGATTGTGTCTCTCCTAAATTCTCTCTTAAACTACAGTAAAAGGATTTATATATATATATATATGTGTTTGTGTGTGTGTGTGTATATATATATATATACACATACATACATATGTTACATATACATACAGATCTCTCTATATATAGTTATCTCCACACAGATGGGGAGAACTGGAGAGGAGACAATAGCAATACAAATTTGAGAAACTAAAAAGGAAACAGATAAAACAGGTAACTGACTTTTAATAAGACTCAAGAAAGCCAACTTCTAGCAAGTAGTGGGGAAAAACCAAGAACCAACCTAGTCTACACTGATGCATCAGAAACACCTAGGAACTTATTAATACACAATTTGTTGGGCCAGAGTTTCTAATTAAACATCGGTGAGAGGACCTGAGAATTTGCATTTCTGACAAGTTCCCAGGAGATGCTGATATTGTTGATCTGAGGACCACAACTGAGAACTAAGACACTAGAGAATCCTAAGTAGGCCCAGAATTTGTATCAACAGGTACCCCCAGAAGTGTGGGTAAAGAATGTTAAATAAGGCAAACTAGTTAAAACCTGTTTAAAAGCCTGTGAGATATAATAATATAATAATACAATTAGTATCTGCAGAGACAAAATGATGTATTTACAAAACAAGAACAGGCTGCTTTAAAAAAATTTTCAGGGTAAAGAAAAGAGCTTTCAACAATAAAAATACTAAACAATTTTTTTAACTCCATAGAAAAGTTAGAAGATGAATTAAGGTAATCTCTCACAGAGTAGAGCAGAAAATAGAAATGGGTAATAGGAGAAAAAAGACAAGAAAATTAGTGTATCAGTCCAAACACCAAATAATAGGTGTTTGAGGAATAGAGAAAGCAGAAGGAAAGAATTCAACATAGTTTAAGAAATTTTCCAAGAACCAAAGGGTATGTGTTTTACATTTCTAGATTGAAAGACAACATAAGCCTAGCAAACCAGGTAAAAGTAAACCCACATCAAGGTTCATCATTGTAAAGTTTCAGAACACAGGAAAAATATTGTAACTTATTGCCTCAGGAAGCTGCGGTATTAAACAATTGCCTGTAGTTGTTTTTGAGAAATACTCCCTGGGGTTTGCACAGGGCAGAACTCCAAGTAAGTCAAATAAAAACAGCCTCGCAAGTTTGATGTCCCAGTGAGCAACCAGACAGGTCATTTAATGACAGTTCTTTAGAAATGGGGCTTTCAAGGGATTCCAACCTGCATTTTATCCCTTGCTGTACCTGCCAGGCTGAAGTTTTCACTTGATTGCTGCTGTTGGTTTTTGAGGCTTCTGCAGACTTGGAGATGGGGAGATAGGAATAAAGCAAGCAAAAACACCACAGAGCTCACTGTTCTTACCAAGATTTAGCCATTTTCCTTGAATAAATACCACTTGTATCATCCTTTGGTTAATTTTCAGAGTTCCAGAAAACTAATTTGGACAGTTTTTGCCTATGTTCATTGCTTTGATGGAGGATATTTTTCAGGGGTCCTTACTCTGCTGTTTCTGCTGATGATCACCAACATGTGGCTCCTTAAATTTAGATTAACTAAAATTAATTAAATTCCCCAATTGCACTAAGCATATTTCATGTGTTCAAAAGCTACATGTGACTAGTGGCTGCTCTTTTGGACAGCACAGATAGATCCTATTGAAATAGATAGTTCTTATGGACAGTGTGGCTTTAACCTATCCTCATTTTATAGATGAATAAACTAAGACTCAAAAATGTTAAGTAACTTGCTCAGGGTTTCTGAGATTCCAAAGCCCCATGTTATGATTCACCAAGCTGTATTTTCTCTCAGTGATTTCCAGCTTTTTCATGTAAGGGAATACATTGTAAAAAATGATATTTGTATAGAGCACACTGACCTAAATGGATGTGACTACAAGATCACCAGCCCCAGTTCTTATGCCACTCCTGGCTCTGTGCATCTATCCCAAGAATAGGGGTACCAACACACTTATGTCACAACAGCCAGAGGAAGTTCTGCTTCACAGAACAGTTGATTCTCAAAGTGTGTCCCAAGGCTATCAACATCACATGGGAACATGTTGGAAAGGTAAATTCTAAGGCCCCATAGAGGCCTACTCAATTAGAAATTCTGGGTGTTGAGTCAAACAGTCTGTAGTTTAAAAAGCCTTCCAGGAAACTGTGACAAACATAAAAGTTTGAATACTCTGTATTATAAAAAGCCTATTCAGGGATGGTGCTAGGAAAATTGGTTAACCTTATGGAAATACGTACACACACATGAAATATATACAGAGAGAGAGAAATAAATACCTGAGAAGTCAATATAAAAAAATTATATTCTAAATACCACCTTTTATCTATTAGGAGACATTGTTATCTATATCCAAGTGTATCAACTAATTTTTATCTTTTTATTTTTAACTAATGTACATTTTATGAATTTCTTCAGTACAATTTTATGTTCAAAGCCTCCCAAACAAGTGAATACCTACCTTTTCTTCAGCTTTGTTGTCATATTTAGACATTGTGTTTATTAATTTCACTGTCAAATAGAATTCAGCACAAAAGCTGAAGTGCTAAAACAAAATATTTGTTTATGTGTTATCCCCCAGTTTAGTGCTCAGCTTTTTAAGGTCATTAACTCCTCAGAGAATCTGTTCACATAAATGAATATTATCACAAGAAAGATATGTGCACATCTGTAATGTTTTCATAAAATTTCAGGATACCCTTGATTTAATTTTTATAAGGTAAAGATTAAGAGAGAAGTTAATATTTTGTAGGATGTTACATTTTTTAATATTTATTTTAATTAATTTATTCCTTCTTCCCTCTCACCCTTACTTTAAGGTGGATACATTGCAAATAGCCTAGCAATCATGACAGATGCTCTTCATATGTTAACTGACCTCAGTGCCATCATCCTGACCTTACTTGCTTTGTGGCTCTCTTCAAAGTCACCAACCAAAAGATTCACCTTTGGATTTCATCGATTAGGTAGGTAACTGGGAGTTTCTTTGAGTTTATCAAATTTTATAGTAAAACCACAATGAACTGTAGCCTTTGATTAACTGAAATATTTTTGGTGATAGCCTGTTTGCACAAAGCAAGTGAAAATAAATGAACAAGATTTATTCAGATACATATCTTCCAGGGTACATTCAGCCTAGTCAGCCAAACAGTTTACACATATGAAATTATATGGTAGTCATTAATCTTCAAATGTTGTTCCCTATGTCCTGAAGATGTTATCAGAAAAAAGTTTTCCTTCATTTTATTGAAACTAGCAAAATCACATGGGTTTAATTCATGAATGAGGATCAGCTTCTTTCTTTCACTTCTGGTAGTCCATCCAAAGCTACTGTAGCCCAGAGTTTAAGCATTACTCTAATAAGTATAACATATACTCTGTAGCTGACCTTCATTTCAGTCATTGAATCAACATAATCCTGTAAATGTTGACAGATTTCTTTACTTGACCGAAATTTAGTCAGTCTCCTGAACCTTCTCCCAAGCCCATCTGTGCATTTTAGCAAGAACCCTGCTAAATTTAATAGGAACTGCTTCCCCTCCCCAATATCTGCTGGGTCACTCCCCAGGTGATGTCTCTTCATCCTTTTCTGTCTTCAGCAAGGATTCTATTAGGTCAGCTTAGTCAGAATCCTCCTTAACCCTGAAGTTTCCTCTTAGTAGTTTGCCATCTGCTGACTCGCACCCTGCTTCTTGGCTGTATATTCCCACTTGCGCATGCAGTTTTCAGAGTTGAGCCCAATCTCTCTCTCCCCTGCAAAATTCCATTGCAGTGGCCCCTATACCTATCTTGATAGCTTCCCTCCTTGAACAAAGTCGTCTTTACCATATTTTAAAAAGTGTCATTGATTTTTTTAACAATGCACTTCTTTTTATTTTCCTATTTTGAACAAATTCTAATATTTAATTAAGAGAGGTTAAAATCTCAGCGTTTTACTCCTACTCTCCTGAGTGTCCATTGAAATAAAAAGTACCAAAACAACAAAGAGAAGCAGATAGTTGAGTCACCAATAAACAAGACATTTCCAGCAATTTCTGGAAGTTGGAGAGTAAACAGAAGGGAGTTGAAGGAAGACACAAGCCAGGAGGCTGCAGCCTGGAGTACACTGAGATAGGAACTGGAGCCACCCAGCAGATCACCAAAGAAGGGTCCGTGACACATGAGCAGGAGTGGGAACTGGGGCTGAAAGCAGGGAGGAGTAATTGAATGACTGTAAATGGAAAACTATTCCGACTCGTCCACGGTGACCCTACCTTCCTTCCTACCCCTGCCTGCACTCAGGCAGCCTACGTTTTCCTTCATGGAAAATACCAGATAATTGTTTTAGAAAGAAATTGAAACAAAATGGGGAAAGCTGAGGCTTCTCATATGGATGTTGGTGCTCCAAAATAATCCTTTTTCATATTACAGTTCAGGGTTCTGCAGCCTAATAGCTCAGTTCCTCACCTACTTATCCTTAAGTAATGCAATTGTCCTAGTCTGCCCTGCCCTACACCCCTTACTAGTAACCACTTTAATTAGTTTATGGCTTATCCTTCCAGCATTTCCTTTTTACAGTAATTTCCGCTGTCCTTCTGCCCTAAGTGTGAATGGAGAACCAAGGATCTTTCAGAAAATGAGAAAAACCAACAGCATGAAAGAAAATGAACAAAACTAACAGAAAAATTAGTCCTGGAGGGAAAAGAGAAGTCTTAAGGAACAGAAAAAAATGTTTTGAATTATTAATATAGTAGAACAATAAAACAGTAGAATATTTTTTAAAAGAAAAAATCTTTGGAATCGAAATATTATTGCTGAAATTAACAATAATGTTTTTCAGTAGAAGGGCCAGAAAATATAATCAAGAAAGTCTCCCAGAATATAGAACAAAAAAATTC